GAGTGTAGGAAGGAGGTTTTACTGAGGTCTTTAACAGGTCTTTTTCCAATTATAGCCAAGAAGAGCCTAGGGACCATGGCCTACTTCAGAGCCAGGGCCTGTATTTTCTTTGGGAAAAGAAGGCAGAGTTGATTGGCTTCCAAACCAGACTTGGCAGAAGTCCATTCAGGTTGCGGGCCAGTGAGCAGTGTCTTGAGTAGATCGTGATTGTAGTGGGCGCTCGTTCAGTAAATGAGACCAGCCCTGCGCTAGGTGTCAGGCACGTGTGGATAAAGAAGACATGGCTTCATCATCAAAGAGGAGAGGCGCAGACAGTGATAACACAGTAGGTTCATTGCTTATAAACTACAGTGAGCACCAGAGAAGGAGCATAGACGTCTCTCTAAATCTAAAACTTCACTGATGTGCCTGCCTGGGTCCTGCCAGCACTGCCTTCCCTTTTCACAGCCTCTCTCCAGGGAACTAGTCGTCCGGTACTTCATATGAGCATATGGAGGGAGACACACAGCATCGCTGATGCCACAGATAACTCAGGTTTATGTTCAAAGCCTATTTCCACTGCATCACTCTATGCCTGTTGCTGTGCTGAATGCTTTCATATAGATTTCATTACTTGCCACTCACAGTAACTTCAGTCAGGCACAAACCATGTGATTTTTGTTGAGCTGAAGAACCGAGTGTCACCTGTCACTCTCTGCTGCTACGTAGCCATCTGACCTTAGACAACTCCATTTGCCACCACATCAGGCCTCAGTTTCCTTATTTGTAAAAATGAGGAGGTTATCTAGGGGCATTTCCTGCTTCCAACATTGTGTTCTGGTGAGTTCTCCTACCAACATTTATGGGCTTGCTCTTTAAGGAAAAAGCTGAAAGCAGATTATTGAGTGGAGTCCACAGGCAGCCTGCTGGGTTTAATGCAGCCTTGCAAATAGTTCAGAACATTTACCAGCCTGCAGATGGTCATTCCCACTGCTGATTACAGAGGATCATGGCAGGGTTTGGGATGTGATGGTAATAAACAGTACAGATCCTGAACTGTCAGGACCGATTCTCAGGGGCATTGAGCAGCTTTTTATATTAGTAACTTTTTTCATTTGTCCACTCCACCCCCACCTAGGTAGCCTGATTTCTCTGTGCTGAGTTTGTGTGTTGGGACTCCAAAAGGGGCAGGGCTGTCTAAAAGAGTCAGGAGACCTGTGTTCTAACCCACCAAATGCCTTGGGGCTCCCAGAGGCAGTGCACACTGAGGTGGGAGGGTAGGAAAGTCCACCAGGGTACAAGCAGTAGTATTGTCTGTAGAGAATTTAAAAACAATAATAAAATCAGCTAAAAGTCAGCCTGCTTTTCATGCTCACTGTACTTTCAAAGCAAGATCAGTGATAAAATATTTCTACCTGCCCTGCTGGGAGCTCAGCTGGGTGTTGTCCTGAGGACCTAAAGGTTGCCGGTTCAATTCCTGATGGGGGTTGTGCAGGAGGCAGCCAGTCAATGTTGCATTCTCGCATTGATGTTTCTTTCTCTCTTTCCTTCTCCCTTCCTCTCTCTCTAAAATCAGTAAACTATTCTTTAAAAAAATATTTTTCCCTGACAACCATGACCTCTCCCACCTCTCCATTCAGCTCCCTCCCTCCTTGGTCGCAGCTGCCAGAGGAAGAAAGCAAGCAGCCTCAGGAGCCTTTCCTTTTCCACACCCCAGGCTCTCTCTGCCAGGTTATAGCCAAAGTCATGGCTCCAGTCCCCCACTCTGAACATGACACCCTGCCATGCAGTATTCGTGGGCTTTGCGCATTCCTCTTGACCATAAATAGATTTCTACTCTTAGCTTCACACAACTTCCCCGAGATGAAACATCTTAGCTCCTGTAGCCAAAGCTGGCTTCCTGGGTGTGGAACCAGCACAGTGGCCCAGGGTCCTGCACTCAGAAAGGGGACGCCATTGAACTCAGGGTTCAATGCTCTGTGGTTGCCATCTTGAAATTCTTGAGACTTTTACCTCCGAATTTGTGTTTTGTAAGTGAAGTGCAATGGGACAATGAAACCACATGCCTAGAGACTGCATGTTGGCTCAAACAAGGTCATACCTCCTGCAGACACCCTGCCTCTGAATAACTTTTGCACAAGGCTCTGCACATTATGTAGCTGGTTCTGCCTTCGGCCACCCTCACTTCCAACTCTGACTCACGGCACCCAGACCTCTACCTCCACCTCCACCTCCACCTTGTGTGCACTGTGGTGTGGACACCAGGGAGAGGCTCCTGGCCTCGGAGAAGAGAGAGTCTAGTGAGTAAGCTATGTAATGCCAGGAAGGATGTCATGCTTGCCACTATGGCCATTTGGAAAACATGCCTCAGGAAATGCAAAGGAAGTGGCCATTGCTGCTGGTGGGAACCTAATAGAAAAGTTCATTTTTGAACCAGGCAGTGAGGAATGGGTAAAATTTCCACAGGAGAGGTGATGAGTGTGTGCAAGGTGAAGGGAATAGCATGTGCACGTGGGTCATAAAGCATGTCCAAGTACCTTTTGAATAGTGAATGGGGCTGGGGCATAGGGTATACGAGCGCAAACATAATATAATGAAAAGGGAGGTTGGGCCCGGAGTGCAAAGAACCCCTCTCTTTCCCTTGTCTCCCCTCTTCTTTAAACTGCGGCTGAGGGTTTCCTTATCTATAAATGAAGGAGTTGGATTAAATACTCTTCTCCTTCTAATAGCCTTTGGCTCTGTACAGAGGCCACGAGCCGTAAAGATGCATCCCCAGTCCATTGGCATCATCCATCATTCTTCCTATCGACTCACCCCTGTAATGACCTTGCAGTCTATCCATTACTCTTATTCTGCCTGGGACCTCCCTCCACCAACCACACTTGATCTATTTCCTTATGAGCAGGTATTCTATGTGTTCTGAGTTTATAGTGGCTGGGCTTTGGAAGGATTTAATAATTTTTTGATAGACATTCAGTCTCAAATTATTTTATTGCAGCTGTATTCTGTTTGGGAGTGGGGAGGTGGGAGAAGGGGGTATAATTCTAGTGGTATGTGTGCTATACTTCAAGTGTTTTCCAAGTTTCATTTTGTTGGTCCTGCAAGATTGAAGGAAATGTCACATGCAGAGTGAGAGGGAGATGAATTTCCCTGTGGGAACCATTTTCCTGGGATAATACAATTCCTAGGGAAAACTCTAGGGTTGAGCAGCAAAGCTCAGATCCTTTGCTCAGCTTTAACCTTGAGGGAGTCAGTTGTCCAGAAAGTGGTTCCCATGGAAGAAAGATGCTCCCCTTATCAGCGAGACAGGCCAGGAGCCAGGACGCAGAAATTGGAACAAAGTGCCTGCAACATTGCTGGCCTTTGGGGACAAGAGAGCGGTTCTTCAGACAAGATGGGAAAAGAGGCTGCGTCTGTGAGTCCTGGGAACAAGTTAGCAAGGGCGGACTCAAACACAGGTATTAGGGAAACGGGGCTTTTCTATTTCTCATGGCACCTTTGTTATTTTCCTTCCGTTTCCCCTAGGATTTAGTAAAGTCTCTCTGAAAATACCAAAGGTGAACCAAGGGAAGGGTTTTTATTTTCCATGCCTAGATACAGCTTTAAAGAGGAAACAGTGTACCCCTGGGGGCCAACAAGGTGGTAGCAATGGTAATTAAAGAATGGATACCTCCCAGTGGGTGGTGTGAATCACAGGGTACAGGTCCAGATTACTCATGCAGCCACCCTGAGAGCCTCCTTCCAGGGCCAAGCTTTTGAAAATCTGAGCTTTGCTCTAGTGAGAGAGAGACCAGCAAGGACAATATCTTGAGATAAGCCCACTAATCCCACAAGGACTCAGTGGAAACCCCATTTTGAGGTTCTGCTATGGCAACAGAATGAGTGTGTTGATGGGTTAAAATGCCATTGAAACAAGGACATAGCAGAATTAGAAATCTAACCACTAAAAGAAACATTTTGTAATGACAACTTTAATAAGCCAAACAAGAAAAATTAATCAGCAAGGAATCTTGCTATCCAGGGCAAGTCCGGCTCATCCATTTCAGCTGGTTGTTGCTGCCTCTCCAGCTTTTGCTGCCGGCGTGTGAAGACGGTCTCTGGGGAGCAGTTGGGTGTCCTGGGGAAGCATGACCATTGGCGAGTTTGACAGCACCCTGAAACTCAGGCCCTCTCACAGAGCGGCTAATGGACCCACGTGTTCATTTACAAGGATAAGAGAACAGCTCCACTAGACATGGCCCAGCCAGGGCTGAGCTGATCTCTGATGTCACAATATAGAAGCACCCAACCCACCCCCCGGCCACAGGGTACTCCTTTGAGAGACCCCAGGGGCTGCAGTTGGGGGACAGTAGAGCTCTGTCTCTTGAGATATTTGCAAAGCTGCTGCTGCCAATAAAAGGCTGCAAACATGCATTTATAATGTTCAGGTTCAAATTCTTCATAATTTGCCAAGGTGAAGTAGGTTATGGTCTTTTCAGGCCCAGGTGATTTTTAAAGAAGTGCACATCGTCCACACCCAACAGAAGGCTGCAGGTAGAGTAGACATCAGAGGCGAGTGCCGTGGGTGCTGTCTGTCTCGGGAGGCGCAGAGGCAGGAGGGCTGGAGTGCAGTCTCCTGCTCTGCCTCCCTCATAGGAAGAGACCTAACCCTTTTAGTCTGTAATTCTCTCCACTGATGTTTTTGGTTTATTTTGTTAAATATGCTTTGCCCTCTCTCTTATGCTTATACAACATGTGCATGTGTGCACACACACACACACACCCGTCTTTCCCATCACACAGCTACTTGGAAGTCTAGGAGAGAAAGGTGCTTTGGAGATTCAGGGGACTGGAATGAAGGCAGCAATTGCTAGGGGTGGGGGAGAGAGAGGAGCTCTGTCTCTGGCCATGAGAGTTTTGTTTGCTAACTTGGAATGGTGACACCCTGCTCTCTCTCACAGGGACACTCTGGCTCAGGTAGCTGGTCCCAGAATGATATCAGCTACCATAGCCTGCTAGTAACACCTGTGTTTCCTTTTCAGATCTTACAGGTGAACAAGGTGATGTCCATCTTGTTTTATGTGATATTTCTCGCTTATCTCCGTGGCATCCAAGGTAACAACATGGATCAAAGGAGTTTGCCAGAAGACTCACTAAATTCCCTGATTATTAAGCTGATCCAGGCGGATATTTTGAAAAACAAGCTTTCCAAGCAGATGGTGGACGTTAAGGAAAACTACCAGAGCGCGCTGCCCAAAGCAGAGGCCCCCCGGGAGCCGGAGCGGGGCGAGCCCCCCAAGGCGGAGTTTCAGCCGATGATTGCGATGGACACGGAACTGCTGCGGCAGCAGAGACGCTACAACTCCCCCCGGGTCCTGCTGAGCGACAGCACCCCCTTGGAGCCCCCGCCCTTGTACCTCATGGAGGATTACGTGGGCAACCCTGTGGCGGCGAACAGAACATCGCGGCGGAAGAGGTACGCGGAGCACAAGAGTCACCGAGGGGAGTACTCTGTGTGTGACAGCGAGAGTCTGTGGGTGACCGACAAGTCGTCGGCCATCGACATTCGGGGACACCAGGTCACGGTGCTGGGGGAGATCAAAACCGGCAACTCCCCCGTCAAACAATATTTTTATGAGACGAGATGTAAAGAAGCCAGGCCCGTGAAAAATGGTTGCAGGGGGATTGACGATAAACACTGGAACTCGCAGTGCAAAACGTCCCAAACCTACGTCCGAGCACTGACGTCAGAAAACAACAAACTCGTGGGCTGGCGATGGATACGGATAGACACCTCCTGTGTGTGTGCCTTGTCGAGAAAAATCGGAAGAACATGAATTGGCATCTCTCCCCATATATAAATTATTACTTTAAATTATATGATATGCATGTAGCATATAAATGTTTATATTGTTTTTATATATTATAAGTTGACCTTTATTTATTAAACTTCAGCAACCCTACAGTATATAAGCTTTTTTCTCAATAAAATCAGTGTGCTTGCCTTCCCTCAGGCCTCTCCCATCTGTTAAACCTTATTTTGTGACCCAGCTCCCGGGAGCCGCTCTGTAAAATCTGTGTACACCAGTATTTTGCATTCAGTATTGTCAAGGCCATGACTGTCGTTTTAGTAAACTTGTTGAACTCGGATGATGTCAGAGTTGTGTATAGACACAGTAGTACTCCCTGCTGGTATACCCCATGTTTGATGAATTAATTAAAAGAACTGTATTCACCTCCATTGAAAACGATACCTGGTAGCTCTGAGCCCCATGCTTAATCCGGGCAGCACATTAGCTGTCAAGCACTCGCTCTCCATTGTCTGCCAAACAGAATTAGGATTTGCCACAGTGCTGTGGTCCCGGAGCAGTAACAGTGAACCTGGCAATTTTAGTTTTGGAAGTTTCTTTTCAGCACATTTGTTGTTTGGGTTGTTTAAGGATTGGATTGTTTTGTTTTGTTTTGGCTTTGGTGTTTGTTTTGCTTTTGTAAGTGGCTTGCATTCTTTAGACACGTAGGAAAAATTTTTAACCATTTGTAACAGAATAATTGTATGGTTACCCAGAGGCAAGCTGACATGGATCACGAACACTCTACACACAGAAGAGAACTGACTCATCAGAGGTCCTTTGGTGCGAGGCCTCCCCCTCCTCTGGGGCGCCTCCCGAGCTGCGTGAGGAATTAGAAAATGCTCCCTCTCTGCAGCCAGACCTGGGTTCGAATTCTAGCTCTTCCCCTGTGACTTGGGGAAGGTTTGGAAACCTCCTTGAGCCATGTCTCTGAGGGTCAGAAGGTCAGCTGGGGATTCCAGCTACCTCACAGGGCTGTCATGGGGAGCTAGCTAAGTAACCCCTGTAGACTTCTAGCTGAGGGTAGGCTTTCCAGAGTGATGGTCCCTTCTCCTCTGCCCTCCTCTTCTTTTTCAGCTGGGTCCCTCTACATCATTTTTGGTTGATTCATCACTTTGAAGTGTAAGAGCTCAAATGGAAGGACCCTAGTGCCTAGTCACGGCAACTGAGGGGTCCCTGTGGGGATGGCCACACCTGTCCTGCCACAGCAGGCCTGAAAAAGACACTAGTGGTCCCCCAGGCCCTTTTCTCACTGGGAAGTAGTTTGTCCTCTTGGGGCTGGAGCCTCAGGAATCTCATCTCCCATCTTGTCCAAGTTGTAGGCTGCCCCCGTCCTTCTATGGAAGCCGCCATCGCTGCCCTGCAGCCCTGCCCTGTGCTGTCCCTGGGGGGCTCCGCCTTCAAGGCCCGTGTGTTCTCTGTCCAGAACATCCCACACCCTGAGGTCTCTCTGTCACGTGCCTAATAGAAGATACGTCCTTTATGCGCCATGAGCCCTTGAAATAGGCCCAGCAGAGAGCAGTGGTTTGGTTAAGAGCATCACTCTACTGCCCTTGATTCCAGATGCCTAAAATAGGAGGGCAGCAAACGAGGAATTTGCCCTGTGCCCGCTATGTGCGACGTACTTTTTTTAAAAAAAATGTATCTTTATTGATTTCAGAGAGAGGAAAGGAGAGGGAGAGAGAGAGACATCAATGATGAGTCATTGATTGAGCCCACAATCCAGGCATGTGCCCTGACCGGGAATCGAACCTGGATCACCTGGATCCTAGGTCGACGCTCAACCGCTGAGCCACGCCCGGCCGGGCTGTGAGAGGTACTTTCAAACACAGCCCACCATTACTTGTCACAGGCCCTTTGAGGTAGTCGTGATCATCTCCAGTTGACAAGTGAGGAAACTGAGGCTTGAGGATTTAACCTGCCCGTGACCACTGAGCAAGTAAGTAGCAAGTGAAGATTTAAATCCTCGTTTGAATGATGACCCAGTCTTTTTCCCTCCTCGCTAGTCCCTCCCTTTCCCCCATCTGCATGGCACATTGCATTTCAGAGTGAGCATCAAAATCTTAAGAGACATGAAAAGCATAGTTCTCTGCTTGGAATCCTTCTGTAGCTCTTGCTTCATGAGCCTACAGCAAACCCACTGAGAGGAGAAAGCAAACCTGGGGATGAGTGAAAATGTTCCTGAAAGGACCTCTAGGCCTCAGGCCATGTGATAGCTCTGCCTCTCCCACGCTGGGTCGCAGAGCAATGAATTACCCAGTTGCATTTCAGTGACTTGATTAGCGTTAGAGGGTATTCGCACACTGCCGAAGTCAACATGTTGGGCTATGGGTCCAGGACAGAGACTTCTGTAAGGTTCGCAGCAATGTAAGCTTCACAGCAAGCTTCTATCCAATGTGCACATTTGCCACTGTGATAGGTTGAAAATTAAACTCATTTCTGAGACAGGAGGGCCTTGGAGGGCTGGTGTCTAGCCCCTGGAGAGTTCCACACACTCTTCCTCTCCCCTTCCTGCTTGGATATCACTGGATAACTCCCCTGTCCTAACGGGAGCTTTCAGCAGCATCATGAGAGTACTGCAGACTGGACAGTCCTCATTTCCTTAACGGACACTGTGCTGAGGAGCCTTGGTGGAGGCTTCTCTCTGCCCTCTTACCTGTCTCTAAGGTTCCCCCGTTTATAGGCTGTGTGAACTTGAGCAAGTTACTTAACCTCTCTGAGCCTTTGTTTCCTTGTCTATAAAAATGAACATAGTGCTCACTTCATGAGACTGTTCTGCAATCTGATGAAAACATCCAGTTCCTGGCACATAAGCCCCCTGGAGTGATGATGATGATGATGACGACAATGACTAGCTTTTGGGGATTTGCAGGAGCCCTCATTCTGGAATTCTGGTAGGAATGTTTCTGCTTCACAGTGGGAGTGAACCAATCATCCACCCCCAGGGGAGGCAGTCCCCAGCATAGCATTTGCTCGGTGGCACTGACCTAGTCTTACTCACAGGCCTTGAATCTTTTTCAGTCAACACACAAGGGGAGAATTTCTAACCCTTCTCAGCAAAACTACTAGCTACCTACCTGATTTTCTGGAGTGTGTGTTGTTCCTTCTTGCAAATTTATGCGACAACTTTCTTCTTCTTCTCGTTCTCTCCCCCTCCCCCTCTCCCTCCTTCCCTCCCTCCCTCTCTCTCTTTCTCATGTTCAGCAATGCTTTCTCCAGGTCAGTGTTTTAGGGTTGGTGTTTTTGAGGATTTCTTTGTTGAGTCCCTTTCCTAAGTGTGTGTTTATATGTGCTTTTTTTGGTTCATTTACTCGATGTAAAAACCCTCCATGGAGGCTTAGAGAAACCATCTGCATTTATTTTATCACCTTTGAACATGTGTTCGAGAATGAAATCTGTGTAGTCAGTTTATGGCTACCTGGAGACTTGTCTGGCTTCACCAGGAAGATGCATCCCCCGGGCTTCAAGCTCTGACAGCCCTGGGTGTGCAAAGTCAACACCAAGTCCTCAGCAAGGCCCAGCTTCGCCTCACAGAGCTCCAGCTCCGCTCGGCCTCAGAGAGGGTGCTCTGAAGGTTGGAGACCAGACAACTGTTAACCACCCCCACCCCACCCAGGACAACAGCTCTGGGCAGAGGGTCTGGAGCAGGCTCGGTTCCACACACCCAGGAATTGCCACAGCCCCTGAAGACTGATCCTCTCACTGGAACCTTCTTCAGCCTGACCCTCTTCCTCAAAGTCCCCACCCCCAAATATATGGATACCTAGTCCTTAACACAGTCTCCTTCAGTTACAGTGGGTGAGTGGACCTCTCAAAGGGCATGTGTTCCACAGTTAGCTGAATGCAGGTGCCTCTGTGGTGGCTGGAAACCCTGGCTGTTCGGTTGGTTCCAGATGGAGGCTGGCCCAGCTTGGAAGGAAAGGACCACAGAGCAGGTCGAAGCATTCAGAAGGACCACAGACTTCTTGTTGCCTTAAGTCCGCAGCCTGTGTTTGGTTACGGTGTATGGAAGGCCAATGAAACAAGAACAGATGTGCCTGTGGCGGGGAACAGAAGTAGGGAGGAGTAAGGAGGTGCAGAAGGCAATGACCCAAAGGTATCAAAAGTCTTTTCTAGAAGCTGGCCACCGCTGATGAGTTTGGCTGAGCTGAGTTGTTGCAGGGCTCAGTAATGGCATTGCCTGTTCAATTACAGAAGTCTCTGTGGCAAGAAAACATGGAAGTTTATTGGGAAATTGTGAAACACAGCCTAATGAGTTAGGTGGCTTTCCATATGGAGACATATGGAGGTGGGTTGGCATGCACGTGTGCATGTGTGTGTGTATGTGTCCATGCATGTGTGTGCATGTCCATGCAAGTGCGTGTGTGTGTGTAGTTGCTTTGATATCCTAACCATTAATGTATTGCATTTTTTAAACGAAAGCTAATGCTTGAAAAGAATGCTCCGGAACACAAGTTTAACCTTTAGGAGACTGAGCTGGGAGCCAGCTGGGGAGCATATGGAAAGTGAACATTCTTGGGGCTAGAAAACAGGCTGGTCAGGGGTGAAGATTTGCAGACAGAAAAGGCATCAGGCTGGCTCCACCAGCCAAAACAGAAGGAGGTGGAGTTGTGGACCTTCTGATTTGACAGGAAAGCACTGGAAGCCAGAGTGGGTTTAGGGGTGGAAGATAGAGTCAGCCCAAAGAATAAATAATAATAGTAATGGTTATCATTTACTGGGTGCTTAAAGCACTGTGTAGTTTAATTCTTTGGAGCAGTTGAGGACGTATAGTTAAGAAAAGTTAAGTAACTTGCCTGAGGCCATACAGCTGGTGAGGGTAAGAGCCCAGAGAGAAACCCAGGCGGTCTGTGTGCTGTGGGACAGCTATTAAATGGGTAAGTGAGACAGTGATGGAGAAGATGCTGAGTGCTTCAGGGACCCTGACTGCTGAATTTCAGTGGGGTGAGGGAGTGAGGAGGGTGGCATGCCCTTGGCACACAGGAGATATTCAAGTGTCAGTACAGCAGGGATCCTAACAATTGCCCCACGTGAGGGAGGTTCCAGACTCATTGGTACAGCAGCTCTCTGCAACGGGTTCTCAGTAGACTGGGGAGAAAGAGTGGGCCTCCCACCCCAAACCCTCCACCCCCCGCCCAGCGACTTCATGATCACTGGACTTGGGAAAGGTGGTTGTAGCTTCTCCTTAAGCATAAAGGTCAGCATTGCTGTCATATCCCTTTGGGACTCGTCTAAGACAGGAATTTCAAATTTGGACAGAACCACTTATTCTCCCTTACAAGGCAGAAATTTTTTACTCAT